TTTCTTAATGCATCTGCCATTAATGCAAATTGATAGACATTCCACTGTGCTCCATCCTGTTTTCTCACACAGCTTCCCTTTACGATGACATAGCTGAAGAAGCGGGCAGTTGTGGTTTGTTGACAGTCAGAAAAGCAGGTGCAGGTGCACAAACCAGTAAAAATCAACCCCCATGCCACAAATGTACACTCTACTGTTGTTCCATTTAAACCTTTATTGAAATTATGAAAGAAAATATTTAACGTATTAACTAAAAGATTTATATTCACTTTGTAAATACAGTAGTCATTAATATATTAACTGTTCTTATAAATAAATAATCTTAAAAGGTTATAATATTTGGATCAGAACCGAGGCTTCAGTCAGCCCCAGTGTTTGTTTATTTTTCTTTTTTGCTTTCTTCATGAAAACTGATGTGAGAACTTGACTTTGTGTGGATGTGGGGGAGTGGAACACGTGGTTTACTGAGATGCGATGCAGGACAACAGCAAAAAATAGGAAAATATTACTTTGTTACACACTTCCCTCCCTTCTTTATGAACTGATGGAAATACTTTTTTGTGGATTTCATCATAATGGACTGTTTACTGTGTAATGTAAGCTGTTTTCCTCCCTTCTGTCTCCTCTGAGCAAAATTGAAAATGCTTTGTGGATAAAATGAAAACTTTTCTTTTCTTTTCTTTGCATGGTTTACTACCCCTTTACTTTTTGTATCTGTGGGCCACTATCGGTCTGTTTAATGTACAAAAAAAGAGAAAAAGATTTCCCTGCACATGACACACAGATTGAGTTGGCTCATATGCATGAATATTGAACGTGTGCAAGTTTTATATCGCGAGTGGATCAGAGGCTAGCTGAATATAAAGTCAGAGTCAGATCATGAAGAGTATAACCTGTAGCCTAATTTGTTTGGAATGTGTGTGTGTGTCTGTGGGCGGGCCTCCAATGTCTGACTGAAGCACAGCAGCTTTGAAAAGGGAAACAGGAGAAACTTGCTCATGTAGCTCTGGACGTGCGATTGTGTCCTGATTTAAGATCATATATTATCCTCGTCATTTCTCACTTAGAATATAATCAGTATTAGTTTTTATTCACTTAATTACCTCTTCAGCTGAAAAATATATCAATACATATATAAAAATAAATATATATATATATAAATATATATTAAAAATTCAACACACGAGCAGATATCTAAGGGAGGTCTGTACTTTCTGAGTAGTTTGCATTTTATACACATGGGGGCGCTGTTTAACTTTTTTAAACCACATCACAATGATTAAAAAAAGGACTAAAGAATAATGGGGCGTGCTGGGCCTTTTTGCATTTTGCTGTGTTATGAGAACTTGGATCTAGTTTGTACAGTTTTTACAGGTGTGAACTTTGCCCAACTGACTTAAAAAAAAAAAAAAGTAAAAAAAAAAGTGGAGGTAGCTGTGTTTTATTTACCACATGAACAGATTTGAATGCAAGATTTGCATAACCATTCGCCTATGTGACGAGAACTTGTAAATGGCTACAAGTTGACCTTTGAAGTGTTTGAAGGTGGTTTGATTTGTAGTTGGGTGTGTGATTTCTTTGTTTTCTCTTTTCTTTTCTTCAGGCTGTAATTAGCCTTTTAAGTAGAGCTGATCACACTGATGGCCGGTCACTAAAAAGAATACCCTGATTTCGTTGATACACATCCTGTTATAGATGGGAAAAAAGACAACTCCCCCCCCCCCCCCCTTGATGCTGTTCTGAAACATGAAACAGTGTCTGTGTATGACCATTGCATACTATGTTGCCAATACTACAGTGTGATGAGACTTTTGTTCTTGCATGAATTGAGACACTGTTCTCCTACCTCATGTTGTGATATATATATAAAAAAAAGATGTTTTTTAAGCAGAAGACACTGCATCTCTGTTTATCATCATAGATATTTACTAGAAAGATTACATACCTGTAAATGCTTTTAGCTAATACCTCAGTTGTATCTAGTGTTTGTTTTTTTTGTTTTTTTCTGTTTTTGCCCTTTCCTGATTTCAGATCTTGTAAATAAAACCCTGTATAGACAATGAACTTGGATCAAATTCAAGTAAAGTTCTGTAGTGTCAAAATCCGTCATGTCTTTTTTCTAGACCGCCTTTAAGTATAGAGCTCACCAACATTTATGGTCCTGTACATCCTTACACATAACAGTCCGGTGCTGATAATCAGATCCACTTGATTAACTGATCAGCAGTAACTCTGAGCTCTTCTGTAAAAGCAGGTCAGTGTGTTAACTCAGTGCCAAGGAAAAAAGAGGGTTATAAGGCCAGACAAGTCCATCATTCATATGTGGACATCTCAGCAAATTCACCCCAAGGTCAGATTGTGCAATGTTCAGAGAAACTGCAAATCACCCAAGAGCTATATGTCAGGCTCTACAGGCCTCAGTTCACATGTTAAAGTTCATGACAGTATATTTAGAAAAGGACTGAACTGGGGAAAGCCTCTTCTCTGTAAAAAGAACATGGCAGCATGGCTTCATCTGAACAAATTTCATTTGGGCAGATGAGAGCAAAGTGGAGATGTTTGCCAAAAACTAAACACAGCACATCAGCACAAACATCATACCAACTGTCAAGCACGGTGGTGGAGGGGTGATGAGAAGGTCTTGTCTTACAGCCACAGTCATTGAGTCGACCATAAACTCCTCTGTATTCTAAAGTCAAATGTGAGGTCATCTGTCTGGCAGCTAAAGCTTGGGTCAAACTGGGACAGGACAACGAAACTGCAACAAATCTACAGCAGAATTGCTGAAAAATGTAAGTGGTCCAGTCAAAGTCTAGACCTCAATGTGATTGAAATGTTGTGGAGAGATCTTAACAGAGCTGTGCATAAATGACTGCCTGGGATTCTTAATGAAGTGAAGCAACGTAAAGAGGAACGGGCCAGAATTCTTCCACTATGATGTGACAGACTGATAGAGTTATACAGAAAACAGTCATTTCCAGTTATCAATGCTAAAATAAACCTGCCGCCACTTTAGAACATCAGGAGTGACATACGTGTCCAGCAGCTATTTTTGGACCTCAACGAAAGAATGTTCTAGCTTTTTATAATTGGTGGTGTACCTGCATAATGTCACCAGT